GCGAGAGCCCTATTATTCCCCAAGGGGTTTTTCTTTGTTTCTTTTTTCTTTTTCCTCCCCTTTGAACTGGAAAATGGCCCACTTCCCACTGGCGAAAACTCATGAAATTTGGCAGGACGACCGGGCCTGGTGAAAAATTTGATATTCCGAAGTCGCCCAAACAAGAAAATGCAAAATGGCTCCATAGCGCCCCCTAAGGTGAAAATTCACACAATTGAGTGTCACGCCTGTACGCTTTGTCAAAATGACACAAAATTTGACACACACATGTATCTCAATAAGATCTACAAAAAAGTCAGTGCGGGCGTATCTGTCAAATGTACGGTTAAAGGGTTATTTTGCATTTTTTGCCGATCCGCACACATTGGAATTTCGCTAACTCCTCCGAAGGCTTTCGTTCCACCGGCACCACATTTGCTCAGGCCAATCTACACCCCATGGCCATTAAAAGTTATTCAAATCATGACGCTGCACCCCACGGTTTAGGTTCTAGGGGGCGCCAAAGATAACCCTAAAATCCACATATTTAAAAGTCTTATAACTTTTTATTTTTGCCCTCACTGGCCTCCAAGTTTTCTAGGATGATGCAATGTCCAGCCATCAACACATTTGTGAAGGAATTTTTACTCCCCAAAAGAGCGCCCCCCATGGCAGGAGAAAAAAGTCCATTTTTTCTTGTCCCCTAAGGTGAAAATACACATTGTTGAGTGTCACGCCTGTACGCTTTGTCAAAATGACACAAAAATTGACACACACATGTATCTCAATAAGATCTACAAAAAAGTCCATGCGCGCGTATCTGTCAAATGTACGGTTAAAGGGTTATTCCGCATTTTTTGCCGATTCGCACACATTGGAATTTCGCTAACTCCTCCGAAGGCTTTCGTTCCACCGGCACCACATTTGCTCAGGCCAATCTACACCCCATTGCCATTAAAAGTTATTCAAATCATGACGCTGCACCCCACGGTTTACGTTCTAGGGGGCGCCAAAGATAACCCAAAAATCCACATTTTTAAAAGTCTTATAACTTTTTATTTTTGTCCTCACTGGCCTCCAAGTTTTCTAGGATGATGCAATGTCCAGCCATCAACACATTTGTGAAGGAATTTTTACTCCCTAAAAGAGCGCCCCCCATGGCAGGAGAAAAAAGTCCATTTTTTCTTGTCCCCTAAGGTGAAAATACACATTGTTGACTGTCACGCCTGTACGCTTTGGCAAAATGACACAAAAATTGACAATCATGTGTATCTCAATTAGATCTACGAAAAAGTCAAAGAGCGCGTATCTGTATAATGTACGGTAAAAGGGCTATTTTGCATTTTTTGCCGATTCGCACACATTGGAATTTCGCTAACTCCTCCTAAGGCTTTCGTCCCACTGACACCAAATTTGCTCAGGCCAATCTACATTCCATGGCCATTCAAAGTTGTAAAAATCATGACGCTGCACCCCACGGTTTACGTTTTAGGGGGCGCCAAAGATGACCCAAATATACATTACAGTAGACAAAGTAGTTTTGCCCACTGAGTGGCGCCAAAGGGACTTGTCTGTGGAGTCTGTGAGTCACTATTGGCCGTTTTTGACTACTTTAGATTTTACCTTTATATTTCCTCTTACAAAATTTTTACCTTGCCTTGCCTGGTATCATTTTTTTCAGCACAACCTCACCTGTGTCAATTTACAGTTATTTTATCATTTTGACATACTATATTTACACATTGGACCCAAATTCACACACAAAACATAAAATCCGAGTGGAAAAAAGTAACGTTTTTACTGTGAAAACCACAAATATGTGTGATGAACTGTTTTTAAAACTTAAACTTCAAATAAAAATTGTAAACTTCAAAACATATGCAAATTTTTAACAAAGAACATAGTAATTTACCTCTATTTACATCAAAATGCAGGCAATGGCCCAGGTGTTCTTTGTAAAATTATTTACAAAACACTGTATAGTCTCACAAATGTCACTTTTTATTTATGCCACTACAAAAAAACATGATGTAAATGATGCATGATGTAAAACATGATGTAAAAAACTTGTGTATATCCTCCTCTATGTTAGTCCATGTGTAATTTTTCCATAATTCTTTGTTTTTTGCAGCATTTTTGTTAGTGTAACTGCAGATTGTGCTGACAGTGTCTATGGCAAAAAAAAAAAAAAAAACTGAAAATGCCTCAACATGAACCCCTGGTGGTCTCTGAGGGTGAAACCTGCTAACTGCTGCAGCTCTGTCAGCTTCAGTCTCCCATGCAGAGCTCGGAGCGCATGTGTGGCTCTGCACCCTTAGCAGCGTTGCTAACTCCTCAGTAAGGAAAGCCTGCTTCATGTCAGAGTCTCTAAACTCCAGAAGAAGTCGATAAAAGTCACTTTCTTTCTAAAAAAAAAAGTCGTTAGGGGGTCTGAAAAGTCATTGAATCTAACAACAAAGTCGCTAGGTTTGCAACTACGTGTCCCAGACTGCATCCCTGCTGAGAGTCCCTCCCTCCCTTCTCATATTGCAGGAAGAACGTAAGCGCCCGCCCCTTGTCAATCAGTCACCATATAATTTTGGATTGGTTGTTGTGGTGAAGTTTTCCACCAATAGGAGAGATGTTGTGGTGTGTTTTTTTTTTCCTTTGGCAAGCCTTTTCCGCCTGTAAGACCTGTCGCTAATGTCTGCATGCTATGTTTTCCTGTCTCATACAGCGCGATCGAGCGCCGAACGTGATCAAAATAAGCAGAAAAAAAGTATCGCGGACATAATTTATCATAACTCTGGTTTTATTTGGCCTATCAACACAATTTAAAAACTGGTATATAGGTTGAGGTCCTCACTTTTGAGATAAGTTGAAACGGAGTCAACGAGGCTCCGTCTTGCAGCTACATCCGGTTAAATATGTCATGTGACTTGAACGCACACACACACACACACACACAAACACACACACACACACACACACACACAAGCACACACACACACTCAGAGTCTGGTTTTTAGCACCTGCAAAAACATGCTATTTACATATTTGACAAGAATGCAGAGGCTCCTTTTGCCCCTGAAAAAAATCAAATTTCAAACACAACTTGACTGGTCATTTCTCCAAAAGACAACCATGAAGCTCCATCCAAACCTGAAGCAGGCAGTTGGTGCATGTGTACAGTAACCTGAGGGGAGTGAGGTGACTGCTTCTGAGGAGAACATGAGCAGTGAAGATTCACCTTAGAGCTAGAACAGAGACGTGCACATGATTATACAGGGGCAGGGGCTCAAGTTTTTTCCAGTTGTTTATACAATATGGAAATTAATGTGAAATTAAAAAACAAAGTATTAATAGAAAGGTAATGACTGTCCTGAGTAGGTGACAGTGATATCCAATAGGCTAGGCACTCAAGAGGCTGGCTGTGGCAAGTGTAAGTGAAAGCAACACGCACTGGCAGGAAGAACAGCAAACGCCGATGAAGGAAAAGGGTCTTTGCAGTGATGGGCGTTACCAGAGAGGGCGATGGCCAGAGGACACAAATGGGACGGGGAGGCAGCGCGTTGGGGGGGGGACGCGACACAGCTCGGGCCCGCCAGTGCCCCAACGGGGTCCTAGTTTGTTATTATTATTATTATTTTTCCTCCCCTTTGAACTGGAAAATGGCCCACTTCCCACTGGCGAAAACTCATGAAATTTGGCAGGACAACCGGGCCTGGTGAAAAATTTGATATTCCGAAGTCGCCCAAACAAGAAAATGCAAAATGGCTCCATAGCGCCCCCTAAGGTGAAAATTCACACTATTGACCGTCACGCCTGTACGCTTTGTCAAAATGACACAAAAATTGACACACACATGTATCTCAATAAGATCTACAAAAAAGTCAGTGCGGGCGTATCTGTCAAATGTACGGTTAAAGGGTTATTTCGCATTTTTTGCCGATCCGCACACATTGGAATTTCGCTAACTCCTCCGAAGGCTTTCGTTCCACCGGCACCACATTTGCTCAGGCCAATCTACACCCCATGGCCATTAAAAGTTATTCAAATCATGACGCTGCACCCCACGGTTTAGGTTCTAGGGGGCGCCAAAGATAACCCTAAGATCCACATATTTAAAAGTCTTATAACTTTTTATTTTTGCCCTCACTGGCCTCCAAGTTTTCTAGGATGATGCAATGTCCAGCCATCAACACATTTGTGAAGGAATTTTTACTCCCCAAAAGAGCGCCCCCCCATGGCAGGAGAAAAAAGTCCATTTTTTCTTGTCCCCTAAGGGGAAAAAACACATTGTTGACTGTCACGCCTTTACGCTTTGTCAAAATGACACAAAATTTGACACACACGTGTATCTCAATAAGATCTACGAAAAAGTCAATGCGAGCGTATCTGTTCAATGTACGGTTAAAGGGCTATTTCGCATTTTTTGCCGATTCGCACACATTGGAATGTGGCTAACTCCTCCTAAGGCTTTCGTCCCACTGACACCAAATTTGCTCAGGCCAATCTACACCCCATGGCCATTTAAAGTTGTAAAAATCATGCCGCTGCACCCCATGGTTTACGTTCTAGGGGGCGCCAAAGATGACCCAAATATCCACATTCTTAAAAGTCGTTTTGTCCACTGCAGGAGTACAGAGTACTGCAGGATACACACACACAGACACACACACACACACACAGACACACACACACACACACGCACACACACACACACACACACACACACATACACACTCAGAGTCTGTTTTTCAGCACCTGCAAAAACATGCTATTTACATATTTGACAACAATGCAGAGACTTCCTTTTGCCCCTGAAAAAAATGAAATTTCAAACACAACTTGACTGCTCATTTCTCCAAAAGACAACCATGAAGCTCCATCCAAACCTGAAGCAGGCAGTTGGTGCATGTGTACAGTAACCTGAGTGGAGTGAGGTGACTGCTTCTGAGGAGAACATGAGCAGTCAAGATTCACCTTGGAGCTAGAACAGGGACGTGCACATGATTATACAGGGGCAGGGGCTCAAGTTTTTTCCAGTCGTTTAGACAATATGGAAATTAATGTGAAATTAAAAAACAAAGTATTAATAGAAAGGTAATGACTGTCCTGTGTAGGTGACAGTGATATCCAATAGGCTAGGCACTCACGAGGCTGGCTGTGGCAAGTGCAAGTGAAAGCCACACGCACTGGCAGGAAGAACAGCAAACGCCGATGAAGGAAAAGGGTCTTTGCAGTGATGGGCGTTACCAGGAGAGGACGATGGCCAGAGGACGCAAATGGGACGGGGAGGCAGCACGTTGGGGGGGGGGGGGGGGGGGCGCGACACAGCTCGGGCCCGCCAGTGCCCCAACGGGGCCCTAGTTATTATTTTTCCTCCCCTTTGAACTGGAAAATGGCCCACTTCCCACTGGCGAAAACTCATGAAATTTGGCAGGACGACCGGGCCTGGTGAAAAATTTGATATTCCGAAGTCGCCCAAACAAGAAAATGCAAAATGGCTCCATAGCGCCCCCTAAGGTGAAAATTCACACTATTCACTGTCACGCCTGTACGCTTTGTCAAAATGACACAAAAATTGACACACACATGTATCTCAATAAGATCTACAAAAAAGTCAGTGCGGGCGTATCTGTCAAATGTACGGTTAAAGGGTTATTTCGCATTTTTTGCCGATCCGCACACATTGGAATTTCGCTAACTCCTCCGAAGGCTTTCGTTCCACCGGCACCACATTTGCTCAGGCCAAATTACACCCCATGGCCATTAAAAGTTATTCAAATCATGACGCTGCACCCTACGGTTTACGTTCTAGGGGGCGCCAAAGATAACCCAAAAATCCACATTTTTAAAAGTCTTATAACTTTTTATTTTTGTCCTCACTGGCCTCCAAGTTTTCTAGGATGATGCAATGTCCAGCCATCAACACATTTGTGAAGGAATTTTTACTTCCTAAAAGAGCGCCCCCCCATGGCAGGAGAAAAAAGTCCATTTTTTCTTGTCCCCTAAGGTGAAAATACACATTGTTGACTGTCACGCCTGTACGCTTTGGCAAAATGACACAAAAATTGACAATCATGTGTATCTCAATTAGATCTACGAAAAAGTCAAAGAGCGCGTATCTGTATAATGTACGGTAAAAGGGCTATTTTGCATTTTTTGCCGATTCGCACACATTGGAATTTTGCTAACTCCTCCTAAGGCTTTCGTCCCACTGACACCAAATTTGCTCAGGCCAATCTACACTCCATGGCCATTCAAAGTTGTAAAAATCATGACGCTGCACCCCACGGTTTACGTTTTAGGGGGCGCCAAAGATGACCCAAATATACATTACAGTAGACAAAGTAGTTTTGCCCACTGAGTGGCGCCAAAGGGACTTGTCTATGGAGTCTGTGAGTCACTATTGGCCGTTTTTGACTACTTTAGATTTTACCTTTATATTTCCTCTTACAAAATTTTTACCTTGCCTTGCCTGGTATCATTTTTTTCAGCACAACCTCACCTGTGTCAATTTACAGTTATTTTATCATTTTGACATACTATATTTACACATTGGACCCAAATTCACACACAAAACATAAAATCCGAGTGGAAAAAAGTAACGTTTTTACTGTGAAAACCACAAATATGTGTGATGAACTGTTTTTAAAACTTAAACTTCAAATAAAAATTGTAAACTTCAGAACATATGCAAATTTTTAACAAAGAACATAGTAATTTACCTCTATTTACATCAAAATGCAGGCAATGGCTCAGGTGTTCTTTGTAAAATTATTTACAAAACACTGTATAGTCTCACAAATGTCACTTTTTATTTATGCCACTACAAAAAAAACATGATGTAAATGATGCATGATGTAAAACATGATGTAAAAAACTTGTGTAGATCCTCCTCTATGTTAGTCCATGTGTAATTTTTCCATAATTCTTTGTTTTTTGCAGCATTTTTGTTAGTGTAACTGCAGATTGTGCTGACAGTGTCTATGGCAAAAAAAAAAAAAAAAAACTGAAAATGCCTCAACATGAACCCCTGGTGGTCTCTGAGGGTGAAACCTGCTAACTGCTGCAGCTCTGTCAGCTTCAGTCTCCCATGCAGAGCTCTGAGCGCATGTGTGGCTCTGCACCCTTAGCAGCGTTGCTAACTCCTCAGTAAGGAAAGCCTGCTTCATGTCAGAGTCTCTAAACTCCAGAAGAAGTCGATAAAAGTCCCTTTCTTTCTAAAAAAAAAGTCGTTAGGGGGTCTGAAAAGTCATTGAATCTAACAACAAAGTCGCTAGGTTTGCAACTACGTGTCCCAGACTGCATCCCTGCTGAGAGTCCCTCCCTCCCTTCTCATATTGCAGGAAGAACGTAAGCGCCCGCCCCTTGTCAATCAGTCACCATATAATTTTGGATTGGTTGTTGTGGTGAAGTTTTCCACCAATAGGAGAGATGTTGTGGTGTGTTTTTTTTTTTCCTTTGGCAAGCCTTTTCCGCCTGTAAGACCTGTCGCTAATGTCTGCATGCTATGTTTTCCTGTCTCATACAGCGCGATCGAGCGCCGAACGTGATCAAAATAAGCAGAAAACAAGTATCGCGGACATAATTTATCATAACTCTGGTTTTATTTGGCCTATCAACACAATTTAAAAACTGGTATATAGGTTGAGGTCCTCACTTTTGAGATAAGTTGAAACGGAGAGTCAACGAGGCTCCGTCTTGCAGCTACATCCGGTTAAATATGTCATGTGACTTGAACGCACACACAGACACACACACACACGCACACACACACACACACACACTCAGAGTCTGGTTTTTAGCACCTGCAAAAACATGCTATTTACATATTTGACAAGAATGCAGAGGCTCCTTTTGCCCCTGAAAAAAATCAAATTTCAAACACAACTTGACTGGTCATTTCTCCAAAAGACAACCATGAAGCTCCATCCAAACCTGAAGCAGGCAGTTGGTGCATGTGCACAGTAACCTGAGGGGAGTGAGGTGACTGCTTCTGAGGAGAACATGAGCAGTGAAGATTCACCTTAGAGCTAGAACAGAGACGTGCACATGATTATACAGGGGCAGGGGCTCAAGTTTTTTCCAGTCGTTTATACAATATGGAAATTAATGTGAAATTAAAAAACAAAGTATTAATAGAAAGGTAATGACTGTCCTGTGTAGGTGACAGTGATATCCAATAGGCTAGGCACTCACGAGGCTGGCTGTGGCAAGTGTAAGTGAAAGCAACACGCACTGGCAGGAAGAACAGCAAACGCCGATGAAGGAAAAGGGTCTTTGCAGTGATGGGCGTTACCAGAGAGGGCGATGGCCAGAGGACACAAATGGGACGGGGAGGCAGCGCGTTGGGGGGGGGACGCGACACAGCTCGGGCCCGCCAGTGCCCCAACGGGGTCCTAGTTCCAGTTGTTGCTGTAATTGAAAGTTTACTGATGGTTCTATGAATAACCAGGGAGGAGTAATTGAATATGGGACCGTCGGACTGAATTGTATGCCACCTAATCCTGCTTGTACTGCTTTTATGTTTCCTATCCAGCCAAAACTCCTAATATTTGATTCATTATGTTCCCAACAGTCCTCCAGGATGGCTTTAGCGGGATGTGAAGTACTATGCCCTTGAGGATTGACCCAGTATGCTAACATAAGTTTCATTCTCCTGATGCGTAATGGTTGTTCCCCCGTTTCTACTTGTATGGATGCTACTGGAGAGGATTTAAAAGCTCCACTGCATATCCTTAGTCCCTGTCTGCTGTACATCCAGCTTTTTCAGGTGACTTTCTGCTGCTGCTAGAGAGCCTATACAACCATAATCTAGCGTTGCTCTCATAATGGCCTGATAAATATTTATCAGTGAAGCTCTGGTTGCACCCCAGTGTCTTCCTGAGAGGCATCTTAAAAGATTATTGACTCTTTTACATTTATCTCTCACTTTGTCTATGTGTTGCCTCCAAGTCAGCCTTTCATCCATCCACATTCCAAGCAGTCTAACAACACTGACCTGCTCAATTTTTTGACTATATAATTTCAGGGAGATTTCTTTGTGTCGTTGAGAAAAGCATATTCCTTGTGTTTTTGCAACAGAAAACTTAAAGCCCCATTCATCTGCCCATTGTTCCACTATCATAATTGCTGCCTGGAGTTTCTTTTGTATATATGTAAGATTCCGCCCCCTTATCCATAATGCCCCATCATCAGCATACAGCGACTTTCCTATACCTCTTTCAACCTGCTCAAAAATGTCATTGATCATGATGTTAAACAAGATTGGACTGCAGACACTTCCCTGTGGTATTCCATTCTCTACTTGATATGTTTTAGAATATTCTGAACCCACTTTAACTTCTATTGTTCTTCCTACCATGAAATCTAATATCCAGTTGTATAGTTTTCCATTTACACCTAATCTAGTTACTTTGATGAGTAGTCCCTCCTTCCATAACATATCGTATGCTTTCTCAATATCAAAAAATACTGCAATCACCATTTCTCTATTGGTTTGAGCTTTCCTTATTTCTGACTCTAAACATAACACATTATCCATTGTCCCTCTTCCTCTTCGGAATCCACTTTGATGATTTGAGAGAATGTTTTTGCTCTCAAGAAAATATGACAGTCTCTGTTACCAACCGTTCCATAGTTTTCCCTAATTGCGATGTTAATGCGATGGGTCTGTAGCTGGAGGGATTAGATGAATCTTTACCTGGTTTTAGTATTGGTATTATGACTGATTGTTTCCATGTCAATGGCAGTTTGCCTGTGTCCCATATGTTATTAAACAGTCTTAATATTACTTCAAGTGCACCATCCGTCATATGTGCTAACATGCTGTAACATACATCGTCTTTCCCTGGTGAAGTTTGTCTTGCGTTAAATATTGCTCTCCTCAGTTCAAAAAAATTAAATGGTAAATCTAGGTCTCCTCCTGACAATGTGCTTCTTCTTACTGTACCTCCTATATTTTGTGCAAGGGTGTTGTCTCTACACTGTTTAGCTTTTACTGATAAATTTTCCGAGCTGTGGATTTTAACAAATGTCTTCGCTAGGAGCTCTGCCTTATCTGCAGTACTTATTGCTGTTATGTTATTGTAATGCAACACTGGTATTTCAAGGTTACTTTTTATGCCGTTCATTTTCCTAATCATGCCCCATACTTCTGCCAGCTGTGTTTCTCTCCCAATTTTATTGCAGTATTGTCTCCAGTATGTCCGTTTTGTTGATCTTATTGTTTTTCTAACTATTGCTTGTGCTCTTTTGTATTGGATCAATGTATCTATTGTGTGGTGAGCTTTCAACTGTCTAAATGTTCTATTTCTCATTTTAATTGCTTTGCTACAGTTGTCATCCCACCATGGCACACTCTTTTTCCGCTTGCTTCCTCTTCTCTTTGGGATAGTTTCTTCGGCTGTCTTTATCAATGCTGTTATCACTTTTCCATTCATTTCCTCTATATCTGTTTCATTCTCTTCTAGCAATTTTACACATCTGTTGTCACTTTTTATTTGGAATGCATCCCAGTCTGCTTCACCCAACTTCCACCTTGGTGTCCTTGCTCCCCCCTCTTGATGTATATCTATTCCAATTTTGATCATTACTGGGTAATGATCACTGCCTACTGTTGACTGATTTAAGACCTCCCAATTACTAACACCTGCAATTGTAGTGGATGTGAGTGTCAGATCGATTACACTCTCTGTATTCTGTGAGCTATTGTACCTTGTACCTCTTCCATCATTAATACACACCAAACCCATATCATCTAAAAATTCCTCTATTACTGTCCCATTTGTATCTGTACTACTGCTCCCCCATAATGTGCTGTGTGCATTAAAGTCCCCACACCATATTACCTTCCCTTGTATTGGCCCACTTGCTTCATTTAATATATCAGTGCTCAGTCTGTTACATGGATTATAGTAATTTACTATTGTGATGCTGCTCTTTTCTGTCCATATCTTGATTACAATAGATTCTTGTTCCTTTCCTATCTTGACTAAATTATAGTTCAACCCATTCCTTATAAAAGTTGCCACTCCTCCACCTTTACCAGTGTTCCTATCGTTCCTTACTGCAGTGTACCCATTCAAAACAAAATCCCATTGTGGTTTTAACCATGTCTCTTGAATACATATTAAATGTGGTTTGTCTGACAAATTTGACACAAAGTTTTTAAATTCTTGACCATTAGAGATAAGACTCCTTGCGTTCCACTGCAAAATAATTAAGAACATGAAGATCCACCAGCCCATGTCTGAGAGTTAGATGTTTCTCCAGTTAGCATGTCCTCTACTGCTTCCCAGCTTATTCCCTCCATTCCTAGATATTTCTCAGCTGCTCTCACTATGATCTTAATCTTTTCAGTTTTCCTGCTTGTTTGTGCTGAACAATTTATCACCTCAACCATGAACAGCACAAATTCATTTTTGCCTACCATCAGCATGTCTTCCTTTATGTCTTGTTTAGCACATCCTCCACAGGGTCTGCTGCTGCTCTCTACTGCCACCATTTTAGGGGCATCTGTTTGCTTTACTTTTTTCACTGCCTCTGCATATGAAATCCCCTCTGAGATTTTAACTCTCTGCACCTCAGCTGCTTTTTTGCTCATTTCACAACCTCGATAAGCTGAAGTATGCTCTCCTCCACAATTGCAACATTTAAGTTTAGCTCCTTCTTCACATTTGCCATACTCATGCTCGCCCGCACATCTACCGCATCTTTGCTTGCCTTTGCAGATTGCTGCTACATGACCATACTTTTGACACTTGAAGCTTCGCAGTGGTGGCGGGACATATGGTCTCACCTCATAGCTCATGTATCCTATGAACACTTTGCTCGGCAACCTGGGCTCGTCAAATGTGATCAATACGGACAGGCTGTCACATCTCTCTCCATTTCTGGTCGCTTTCAGCCGTCTGGCTTCCAGCACATTTGCACCCACCACATTGTCTTTTATCTGTTTTGTTGATACTATCATAGGTATACCTGAAATGACTCCTCTAGTCGACTTCTTCCTATCTTCAGGAATTGAGCACTGCACTTTTTTTACCATCAATCTTGTTTAGTCTTATGGCTTTTCCTTGTTGCACACTAGTCCTACAAAAGATCAACAATGAACCATCCCGCAGCACTTTGGCATTCTTTACTTCACCTACAAACTTTTGAATCGCCTTTGTTAACACGATTGGGTTCCACTCACCAAATGATGCACCGTCCTGAGAAAGTTTGATGATTATTTTATGTTCCTCACTCTGCCTTCCTATTGGTGATCCACTTCCCTCACTGTCTGTTCCTTCTGAGTTGTTTCTATCACTTTGCTGTCTTTCTTTTTTACGTTTTCTCCTATTTTTTTGGTCTCCTAGATTCCACTCATCTTTCCTCCCGCCATCTACTTCAATTCCTCCCATCTCACTTCCTGATCCGTCACTAGCGCCTGCCATCTCTGCCCATTCACAGTCCAGCTGTTCGCCAACCGCCTCAACACAGCAACGTCCTGCTCGCCCTCCTGACCAGCAGTCTCTACTTCTTCCGAGAGAGAGAGCTCCTACAACAGCCACCCTTTTCACAGCTTCCCTCCTCAGCTGCTGTCCAATCAGGCCACAGTCCTCTCCTGAAAAACAAAACAGACACAGGAACAGCACCTACCACAGGTAGGTAAGAAAAGGTAAGAAAACAGGAAACCTATGACCCCTGGTCATAACAAAAAAACACAGAAAAATGCAGATTTTTTTTTTTTCCAGATATAAAAAATTAAGTGAGGCAAACTAATTTGAGTGAAGTTTGAAATTTTAGCAAGGTCCATCATGATTGCAGTTTATTTCTGTTTGTACATCATATTATTACCTAAATGTAAATAAATGTTTTAGAAGTGAAATTTTTTTGTAGCTTCATATACTGAACTGCTTTAGGGTGGCAGTAAGATAATTAATAACTAGTGATTTGTTTTTTGTTTTTTTTAAACTGAAATTAAATTACAATAAACAAATGAATAAATAAACACACAACAATGTTATTTAGATAAATAGATAGATAGATTTATTGGTCTCCATGGGGAAATTTGTCTTCACCAACTGTACATCACATAAAAGGACAAAAATGCACATCACATAGGACAGACCTTAAGGAACAGACAACTAATGACAAACACCTGGACAACAGCAATCGGCAACAAGCAGCAAGAAGGCAACTGGACAGATTATTCACTGGGGCCTACTATTCAGGGCATCTATAGCTGCAGGGACCAGGCTTTTCCTAAATCGGGCCTTGCGAAACCTTAGGGTTCCATACCTGCGCCCTGAGGGTAGGAGGTTGAAGTATTTTTTGAGTGGGTGAGTGGTTTCGTGTGCTATGGAGTTTGCTATGCGTGTGATGGACCTGTTGTTCAGTTCTGTGAGGTTGGGTGTGGGTAGACCAATGAGTTTAGCTGCTGTATTTGTAATGTGTGTGAGTTTGGCCCGGTTGGTGACAGAAAGCATAGTGAAGAAATATGTAGAACAGTACAGAAGGACGGGTTGGATAATACTTTGATATAGCAACAACAAGAGGTGTGGAGCAACATATAGTCCTTTATTTATGGGGG